GACCTTCCGGCACCCTCGGGGGGGTGAGTGGGAGCAGAAGAAGGCGTCCCAAATTCTGTCTGCACTCACCTATGGACAGATACGGGCCAGGGCAGAGGTTGAGGCATCCCTACAGCCTCCGCACCAACCTGGTTGGGGGGGGGGTGGCCTCTCAGGAGGACTGGGACATCTCCACAGGCCCCGGAGCCCTGAACAGAATGGGCAGGGCCTATGACACGCGCTATGACTTACGGATAGACCCCGCAGACGACAGAAAGGGTCTGGAAGGTCAGGGGAAAGGAGGAACTTACCCCATTCCTGTCGGCCCGGATGAAGGGAGAGGGAAAGAGCTGCTTAGAAATTTCCCAGTTCTTTTCAAGGGGGAAGGGATGGGCTTCAATCCCCTGAGGGAGAAACCCAAAGATCCCTTCCCGGGTTTCAGACCCACAGAAGGGACAGAAGAAGGGTCTGAGGAGAAACCTCGTGGAAGCTCGACCGTACTGGACTTTTATGGGGCTTACAGCAGGAAGGGAAGGGCTTGGGACAGGAAAAGGTGTTTCTAGGGTCCCTTGCCCCCTTGAAGTTGGTCAGGGGAGTTGGCTGAACTCCAGGATTGGCCAGGGGGGTCCTGTTGATTGACAGGTGTTAGTCAGGAGATCTGGCTGATTGACAGGCATTTCCACCGGCATCTGATTGATGTTCTTTTCCGGTGCGGGCTGCTTTGTTCTAAGTTGCCACTATGCCGCAGTCTGGCTGGGCACACAATCACGAGCCACCACACAGCTTGTAGATTCAAACAGCAACTCTTTATTCCCGAACTCACACCAGCCATCTACAAACATGTTCTGGGGAAATCCACGTTCTCTGCCCAAATCCACATCCACTGGGCTTCTATCTCCCAAAAAATACTGTCTGAATCCCGTGAGAACTCAAGGGGAACTCAGGCAGCAGGATACGCCCTATTCCCAGCAGGAATAATCTTAAACCTGGAATGCCCTAAACCCGATTATCCTAAACCGGGAACACCCTAATCCCTGATCCGCCCTGGTCCTTGAGTGCTGGTAGCAGGCCCGCCCTGGTCCCTGGGGACTCAACCCCCAGTTCTTTGTTATGCATGTCAATGTGGCCAGCTCTCAAGGCCGTGACAGGGGCTTGCGGTTCCCTGTTTATCTGCCTCACGCATATGTGCCTCTCGGGAACATCTTGACCTGTTTGAGCCTCCTGATAGGGGATGGTGACGTGATGGTAACCCAAGGACGCAGTTATTACTCTTCCCTCCTCACTTTTGAGTGATTTCCCGCAGCTGTTAAAAAGATATATAAGGGGAACAAATTTGGCAATAAAGTGCTCACATGTTCCCTCCTGGATGAAGAACCTTGGTGTCCTGTGTATGTTTAACCCCGCCGTCCCTCGCCAGACTTGGCTCCGTTAGCCAGACACGGCACTTGAGCAAGGTCACCTAACTGCAATGTCACTGCAAAATGTCCTATTTCCATGAGTCCTTCCACCAAGCAACATGTGGTACGCTGGCAAGGAAATTGTCATACCTACTTGGCTAATGGCTCCCAGCACCACTAAGTCGCCACAACCAACCTAACAGCAACAACGCCATTTGAGGAGCTGACAATGACTTTGAACTTTTATAGGCAGGGGAATGAGGGAAAGGGTTGGGGGTTTGCATAACTGGAGGCTTTTCACAGCTGTCAAAGCAGGACACCTTACTCAGGGTCCTCTGTCCATCATTACCTCATGATTGGTGGGGGAAGACTTATTGGAAGTAAGAAAGTTGCTGTTGGAGGTGGGTGGGAGTGATGGCAGTGGCTTCAACTCATCATAAGATGTTTATAGGATCAGATTTTGTTCCTGGAATTCAAGGCAAAGAAGATGGAGACAAGATGGAGTCAGAGATGCTAAGTCTTTAATACTGGGTTTAGCCACCTGTTGGACATTTGCAGGCAAAAGTGAAGAGTCTAAGTCCTTGTCACAGGATCACACTTTGCAGTTTTCCAAATACTTAACTGTACATTCACTCATTCAGTTCCAACAGGCTTAAACTAGTGATTGGCCCCAAGTCATAAAATTAGTACATAGCCTAGCTAGGTCTTCAATCTAGGTCTGTCTGGCTATGGGCCCAGTTCTTTTTCCACTACAAGTAGCTAAATATCTACTGGAATGACATCTGATGTTGGTAATAGTAGAACTAGGCTGTTAGGGTAATCCTTTCCAATTATGTAGGTTATTTTGGGGTTTTACAAGTTCACAGTCCTGAATACTAAGAGATTCAAGCTAAAAAGAGAGTTGCTATTGTTAGTGGCTCGATTTTCCTCCAGGGTATTTGCCAAGAACTATTTACAAACCAGACTGGGCTGGAACAGGCCAAGTAAGAGAGGGGGAAGGGTAGCTGTGAGGTCAGCAGGCTCCAGTCCTTGGACTCTGCGTCAAGTCCTCCAGTTGCTTGGCATGAGCTGGGAAGAATAAGTCCAAGCTAGGCAGGCGCTCCATTCAACAAAGTTCAACAGAGGGGAATCCAAGGAAAGTAGAATTTCAAGGCAGGTCTTTTGTTGTAAGCTCACACCTGGGGAAAGTCAAATAAAGGTAAAGAGGCAATAATGATTCAATCACCTTGTACTAGGTTAATGCTTTACAAACAAGAAAGCAGGAGACAGTCCTCCACCCTGGCATGGTGGTGCATGCCTGTAATCCCACTGGCTCTGGAGGCTCAGGCTGGAGGATCCTGACTTCAAAGCTGCCTCAGCAATTTAGTGGAACCCTAACCAACTCAGCAAAATCCTGTCTCTGAAAAGTTTTAAAAAGGACTGGGGATGTGGCTCAGTAGTTAAGGGCTCCTGGGTTCAATCCCTGGTACCAAAAAAAAAAAAAGAAGGGAGCTCTCCAGAATTCTGAATGCCCTCGGACCACAGAGGTGGTGGTGCACCAGCAGAACTGCCTTTTTCCATCCACAAAATATGTGTGTGTGTGTGTGTGTGTCTATATTTTTTTCTCCCAGGGCTTTGTGTGTGCCAGGCAAGCACTCTGCCACTGAGCCAAATTTCCAACCCCCATAAAAAAATTTTACTGTTGATCTACGCTGGGTTGGACAAAAGGGAAATCCTAGATTTGTCCACATTTTCTTTCCAGGCACTTCAGAGCACTAAAGTATCCTAATCAAATCCTCTTTAGTCATTACATTTACCACCCCCAATTATAGATCCAAAACCTTCAGCTCTACTTCTTGCTCTGATCCTGGTGAAGCCAGATTTAAAGATAGGTAGTTAGTGTAGTTAGATAAATCAGGTCTAATATCAAGTATGATAAAGAAAACAGAGACCTTTACCGAGAATGGAGTCCAGGAAACCAGAACACCACCTGGAGAAATTGAAATGTTAATGTCCCCAAGGCTGGAAGGAGCTCTAAAGAACTGTTAATGAAGTAGCTCCCAGCAAATGGGGAGGTGCTAATCAAACCACCCCAGGCCCTTCCTGCCAAGATTACTCCCACACCCCTATCAGTCCACCTGACTGCAGGATAGAGGGAAACAAAGGATAGGAATGTGAGAGGACTAAAGGAAGACCTTAGATATAAAAAAGGGAAGACCTCCTCTTTCCATGGATTCTACCTTTCTGGTCCCCTTCTTCCTCGGGGAGAAGTCTTTTCTGCTGTCCTTTGATAAAGCCTTCCACTTTCCACTCTACACTTGCCTTGGCGTGCTTCTCTGGTGTTAGATTTCAGCGTTTGGGGAAGCAAGGACTAGTCATTGGTAAACAGTGGTAACACTGGGATGCAAAATGTTAGTCAACCTGCACTTCATTTCAAAGACAGTGGTAACATTTTGGGAAGGCATCAAGGGAATCCTAAGATATTAGAAGATGATAGAATATGGTAGCCTTAAACGGTCGATGATAGGATTCTTAAACATGAAATGATGGAGAGAAATGGTTGTGGCCATAAGGCATAGATGTTTTAGTTCTCTAAAAATATTTGTCTCCAGTCTCCTTTAAAAAAGTACTTTCCCACAATTGCCAAGATTCTTAAATATACTGCTAATATATTCAGTCCCTTAAGCTGGGTGCAATGTGCATACTGTAGCCCCAATGACACAGGAGACTAAAGCAGGCGAATTGCAAATTTGAGACCAGTCTCAGAAATGCAGGGGTACCCTGGGGCTGGGATTGTGGCTCATTGGTAGAGTTAGAGCTCTTGTCTAGCATGTGCGAGCCAGGCACTGTGTTCAATCTTCAGCACCACATAACAATAAATAAACAAAATAAATGTATTGTGTCCAACTACTTCTAAAAAATATTTAAAAATTTTTTAAAAAAAAATATTTATTTTTTAGTTTTCGGGGACACAACAACATCTTTGTTTGTATGTGGTGCTGAGGATCAAACCCGGGCAGCACGCATGCCAGGCGAGCCCGCTACCGCTTGAGCCACATCCCCCGCCCCATAAAAAATAAATATTTAAAAAAGTGATTGGTTGGGCCATACATATACATCTTTCCAAGATCACCCATAATCTTAGGCTGAGAAGGTGGGGCATTTTTTTGGTCTGGGAACTATAAGCTGCCAGTGCGCGTTCTATAAGCGGAACTACAAGAGGTCCAGCACTGCCCAGAACCCCGGGGACCCATGGGGACCACGGTTCCATCCCCTTGTGGCTGCAGTCTTTGGTACCACAACACCCAGCTTTGCTTGGAAGAAGGATTATCTCTCAGCGTCGCTGCATTCCGCCCCAATCAAAGGCAGTGCCCTTTGTCTCAGGGGTTGGTGGAGGCTTCTAAAAATCGCTTAAGAGCCACCGCGCTCAGTCCCAGGACTCTATGGCCGAGGGCCGCTAAGCCTCATCAATGGTCCCGCCCCACCGAGAGTTAATCCAATCAGAGCAAAACATTCAAGCTCCTTTCCCGGTTTGGTGTCGTCATTTCCGGTTTATTCCCGGAAGTCCTGCCGTGGAGCCAAATTTGAAGCAAGGCGAGACCCTGGGGCGCGGCCACGAAGTTGGGCCTGTTGCAGTTTCCTTGGCTACCTGGGCCGCTTGAGTCCAGCCATCATGCCTCTCCGTGCCCTGTGCACTATCTGCTCGGACTTCTTCGACCACTCCCGCGACGTGGCGGCCATCCACTGTGGACACACCTTCCACCTTCAGTGCCTAATTCAGTGGTTTGAGACAGCACCAAGTCGGACTTGCCCACAATGCCGAATCCAGGTTGGCAAAAGAACCATTATCAATAAGCTCTTCTTTGACCTTGCCCAGGAGGAGGAGAGTGTCTTGGATGCAGAATTCTTAAAGAATGAACTGGATAATATCAGAGCCCAGCTTTCCCAGAAAGAAAGAGAGAAACGGGACAGCCAAGTTATTATCGACACTTTGCGAGACACTCTGGAAGAGCGCAACACCACTGTGGAATCTCTGCAAAAGGCCTTAGGCAAGGCTGAGATGCTATGCTCTACACTCAAAAAGCAGATGAAATTCTTGGAGCAGCAACAAGATGAGACTAAACAAGCACAGGAGGAAGCCCGCCGACTCAGGAGCAAGATGAAGACCATGGAGCAGATTGAGATCCTACTCCAGAGTCAGCGGCCTGAGGTGGAGGAAATGATTCGAGACATGGGTGTGGGACAATCAGCGGTGGAGCAACTGGCTGTGTATTGTGTGTCTCTCAAGAAAGAGTATGAGAATCTAAAAGAGGCCCGGAAGGCCTCGGGGGAGTTGGCTAACAAGCTGAGGAAGGACTTGGTCTCCTCCAAAAGCAAGTTGCAGACAGTCTACTCTGAATTGGATCAGGCCAAGTTGGAGCTGAGAGTGGCCCAAAAGGACTTACAGAATGCTGAAAAGGAAATCACGAGCCTGAAAAAGAAGCTAATGATGTTGCAGGAAACCTTGAACCTGCCACCAGTGGCCAGTGAGACTGTCAACCGCCTGGTTTTAGAGAGCCCAGCTCCTGTGGAGATGCTGGACCTGAAGCTCCACCGGCCATCATTCAGTGATGATGTTGACCTCGATGCTTCCTTCAATGTGGATACCCCCCAAACCCAGCCCTCCAACTCCCAGCATGGCCACTCCAAAAGGCTGTGCCTTGAGAAGGCACACTCTCCTGTTCAGGACATTCTCAAGAAGATGCCCAGAGGTCCCAAGCAGAAGTCCCAGCTCTCTTTGGGTGCCCAGCACTGTGCAAGAGAGCCAGATGAGGACCTGGCTGGTGCCTTCCCTGTCTTTATCCGGAATGCTGTTCTGGGACAGAAACAGCCAAAGAGGGCCATAGCAGAGTCCTGTCGCAGCCCAGATGTGGTAAGAATAGGTTTTGATGGCCTTGGAGGCCGGACAAAATTCATACAGCCTACTAACACAGCCATGATTCACCCATTACCTGTTAAGCCCAAGACGAAGGCTAAGCAGAGAGTAAGGGTGAGGACTATAAACCCTTCCTCCCAGGCCATGTTGGATACCGTCCTGTGGCAATGAGAACAGTGAATCTGAGCAGTGGCCAGACATGCCTCCAACTAGAAGATTGGCCAGCAGTGTTTGGAGGAATGGCTCCTCTTCCAGGATGAGCCCTGAGAGCAAAGGCAGAAAAGCAGATGAATGGTAGAGTAACAGAGATTGTGCACTTCCTTTGTCCACCTTGCCCTGTTCTGTCACATAGAGCTGACACTACCAGCTTACCGTTTCCATCAGCAAGTGCCTGCTCCTGGTTGCACAATCTAATGTGGCCAGGTTCTTTCTGATCCTGGAAACCAGGATCACTTGTTGACTGTATGCATAAAAGTGCTTGAGATTTTCTCAGCCTGAGTCTGAGCTTCTGCCTGCCTTCCTCACTGCTGGGCATGGCCTGGTCCAAGCGCAGTGTGGGGTAGGGAATGGGGAATGATGGAGTGGGGAGGACAGGGAAAGATTTCCATGTAAAATAAAAAATAATTTTTTTTTCTGGCAAAAAAAAAAAAGAGAGAGAGAGAAAGAAATGCAGTGATACCCTGTCTCAAACTAAAAAAAAGGATGGGGATGTAGGTCAGTGATAAAGCACCCCTGGGTTCAATCCCCATACCAAAATAATAATAGTAATAATAATAATATATAATGACTATTATTATTTTTAGCTGTTGAGTCCCTTCTGTGTTCCACTCCCCTTCCAATGTCCTTTCCTAAACAACACTAGCACAGGAGACTTGTGTTTGACAGTCCTGGGAAGCCAGACTCAGGATTCAGGGAAGGGAAGGAAAGGGAAGGATCATAGCAAAGCAGCACACACACACAAAAGATTCTTATCACTATTTGAATTTTTCATCTCTCACTTTTACTTTTTTTTTCTTTTAGTAGTACTGGAGATTGAACCCAGGGCCTTGTGCATGTGAGGCAAGCACTCTACCAACTGAGCTATATCCCCAACCCTTCACTATACTCTTTACTTTTGAGGAGGTCTTTTAAAATATTTTCTCCACCCTTCAGGGAACTGAAAATTCTTGGGTGCTTTAGTACTAAGGCACATCCCCAGCCCTTTTTATTTTTTATTTTGAGACTGAGTTTTACTAAGTTGTTGGAGTTGGCCTTGAACTTGTGATTCTATTATTTGAGTGCCGCCTCCCCCTCTCCCCATCCAAGTTGCTAAGATTACAAGCATATGCCACCATGCCTGGTCCTTAGAAGATCTTGACCTATAATTCGGAAACAATACCTTACATCTTTACCCTGACATGCTTCCATCACATGCTCTTTTTTTTTTTGAAAAAAAAAAATGAATTTTATTTATTTTATTTTTTATTTTTTTATTGGTTGTTCAAAACATTACAAAGCTCTTGACATATCATATTTCATACATTTGATTCAAGTGGGTTATGAATTCCCATTTTTACCCCGTGTACAGATTGCAGAATCACATCGGTTACACATCCATGTTTTTACATATTGCCATACTAGTGACTGTTGTATTCTACTATCTTTCCTATCCTCTACTATCCCCCCTCCCCTCCCCTCCCATCTTCTCTCTCTACCCCATCTACTGTAATTCATTTCTCACCCTTGATTTTTTTTCCCTTTCCCCTCACATCCTCTTATATGTAATTTTGTATAACCATGAGGGTCTCCTTCCATTTCCATGCAATTTCCCTTCTCTTTCCTTTTCCCTCCCACCTCTCTCACCCCTGTTTAATGTTAATCTTTTTCTCATGCTCTTCCTCCCTGCTCTGTTTTTAGTTGCTCTCCTTATATCAAAGAAGACATTTGGCATTTGTTTTTTAGGGATTGGCTAGCTTCACTTAGCATAATCTGCTCTAATGCCATCCATTTCCCTGCAAATTCCATGATTTTGTCATTTTTTAGTGCTGAGTAATACTCCATTGTGTATAAATGCCACATTTTTTAAATCCATTCATCTATTGAAGGGCATCTAAGTTGGTTCCACAGTCTAGCTATTGTGAATTGTGCTGCTATGAACATCGATGTAGCAGTATCTCTATAGTACGCTCTTTTAAGGTCTTCAGGGAATAGTCCGAAAAGGGCAATAGCTGGGTTAAATGGTGGTTCCATTCCCAGCTTTCCCAGGAATCTCCATACTGCTTTTCAAATTGGCCGCACCAATTTGCAGTCCCACCAGCAATGTACAAGTGTACCCTTTTCCCCACATTCTCGCCAGCACTTGTTGTTGTTTGACTTCATAATGGCTGCCAATCTTACTGGAGTGAGATGGTATCTTAGGGTGGTTTTGATTTGCATTTCTCTGACTGCTAGAGATGGCCATCACATGCTCTTAACATTTGGTCCAGAAGCAACTGTGGGATGGATGATGCAACCTCTGTTGCTAGGACATCAGGACTGTGGCCAAAAAAAAAAAAAAAAAAAATGGGGGGAGGGGTACAAGGGATTGAATTCAGAGGCACTGGGCCACTGAGTCAAATCCCTAGCTCTGGTTTGTATTTTTTTTAGAGACAGGGTTTCACTGAGTTGCTTAGTGCCTTGCTTTTATTGAGGCTGGCCTTGAACTCTCATCCTCCTGGGATTACAGGCATGCACCACTGCTCCCAGGGGCCAAAAAGTTTTCACAGCATACTTAGAGCCTGGCCAGACTTAAGCTTTGGCTAGACATTTAAGTTATTCTGTGCTGAATTTTCTCTCCCCAACTCCAAAATCTGCAGGACTCTAAGCTTTTACAATGCTTATCATACTTCTTTTCTTGTTCAGCTTGGGAAAGGAAGTAAAGTAATCGGAGAAATGAACCAATTGGAAATTATTTTTCCATGCTGGGGATAAAACCAAGGGCCTATCACATGCCAGAGAAGTCCTGCACCACGGAGCTAAGGCCCCAATCCTCCTCCCCCTCTTTCTTTTTGAGACAGTCATGCTGATTTGTCCGGGCTGGTCTCAAACTTGTCATCTTCCTCCCTCAGCTTCCCAAGTAGCTGGGATTATCAGTGTGCCCAGTTCAACTGGACATCTTTTTTTTTTATAACAATACTGAAATAATTTGCAGAATTCTCTTGAGTTCAGCTGGATATGATGGTGCACACCTATAATCTCAGCAACTCACAGGATCAGATCACAAGTTTAAGGCCAGCCTCAGCAACTTATTGAGGCCCTAAACAATTATTATTATTATTATTATTTTGGAGTACTAGTGATTGAACCCAGGGCCTTGTGCATGTAAGGCAAGCACTCTACCAACTGTGCTATATCCCCAGCCCAGCCCTAAACAATTTAGTGAGACCTCATTTCAAAATTAAAAAAAAAAAAAAAAAGGCTGGGGACATGTGCTTAGTGGTGAAGTTCCCCTGGGTTCAATCCCTAGTACCAAAAAAAAAAAAAAAAAAAAAAAATTCTCTTGTGTTCTTCAATGATCACAGAGCAAATATCCTACTTAAGTAAATCATAATTATTGGCTGAATTTTTACAAAAAGTCATTTTGCAATTGTATAAATAAAGTTTTTTGATAGGAGAATTTTTAAAATCTTACCATTCTCATTAATGACTTATGAATTACACTGCATGAATTTGAATAAATCATAAACCTTAGTAGTCCATGTCTGGCATTTGTAATTAATTTAATTTGCAATATAATGAATATTCAGGAACCCTCCACTGCTTCTAAACAAAGCTAATGTGAACATTCTTCTACATGTTTTCCTGAAGACATGTGCATGCCTCTTTTTTTTGGTATGGGATTGAACCTTATTTTGTATTTTATTTAGAGACAGGGTCTCACTGAATTGCTAAGCACTTCCATTGCTGAGGCTGGCTTTGAACTCACGATCCTCCTGCCTCAGACTCCCAAGCTACTGGGATTACAGGCATGAGCCACCACAGCCAATTTCTTGTCTTTTGGATCCTTCATTAATATTTGCCACCACTTTTTAAAAAAAAATTTTTTTAGTTGCAGGTGGACAAAATACCTTTATTTTGTTTCATTTATATGTGATGCTGAGGATCAAACCCAGAGCCTCACACATGCTAGGTAAGCGCACTACCTCTGAACCACAACCCCAGCCCCTTGCCACCACTTTTTAAACATTTTATTCTATTTCAATTATTTTCTGGCAGTATTGGGTATTGAAACTGGAGTACTCTACCCCTGAGCTATATTCCCAGAAGCCACTACCCTTTTTTAAAATTTGAGACAGGGTCCTAATAGGTTGCCCAAACTGGCCTTGAACTTGTGATTCACCTGCCTCACCTCCTGAGCAGATGGAATTACCAGATATGTGCCAGCATGCCCTGCAATAGCACTTTTTTTTCTTTTAATCTTTTCTTTTGTTACATAAAGATGAGAGGAGGCCTTTTTTTTTTTTTTTTTGTACTAGGCTCCTGCATTGGGTCCCAATAGACTAGACTAAAAATAAAACTAGAATGCCTGGGTGTGATGATGCACACCTGTAATCCCAGGGACTAGGGAGGCTGAGGCAGGAGAATTTCAAGTTTGAGGACAACCTCAGCAATTTAGCAAGACCTTGTCTCAAAAATAAAGGGGCTTGGGCTGGGGATGTGGCTCAAGTGATAGCATGCTCCCCTGGCATGGGTGCGGCCCGGGTTCGATCCTCAGCACCACACACAAAGATGTTGTGTCTGCTGAAAACTAAAATGTAAATAAAATACTAAAAAAAATAATAAATAAATAAATAAATAAAGGGGCTGAGGATGTAACTCAGTGATCAAGCACCCCTGGGTTTAATCCCCAGCACCAAAAAAAAAAAAAAAAAAAAAAAAAAACCAAAAAACTGAATTACTCATGTTAAAGTTTCATGTTGCCAAACCAAAATTGTTTTTATCTGCATTACCTAGATATCTGGAGAAAGAACAGTCAAAACAGTCACATTTCCCAAACAGGCCAGTTTTATTTGGAATGATAATGAAGTTACTTCTGCTTTAATATACCCCTCCACACCCTAGATAACTTCAAAGTAACCTGATGTTAATTAATCATTTATTTTTCTGTAGCTCCATGTTCCTGCCCTACAAGGAAAGTAACTTTGAAGCAACCA